GCATTGGCTCAAAAGATGGGACTCAGTCTCACTGAGGAAAAAAACTACTGCTTCACCTACCACCTTCACCTAGACACCGATACCCTCAGGTAGGTGACAAACCCTCATATATCTCTCTTACCTGGATAATGAGTGTCTCAGATTGTTTAAGAGCAGCAGACAGGTATAATATTTTGTGAGGATATTGAATAATACCAATGATTGAATAACTGTTCAAGTCCATGTGGTTCTGTCTGAAGTTAGGTTTTGTAAAAAAATGTGACCACACCATTACTGACGTGTGAATAAATATGTGTGTCCCTTTCTTAACTGATATGTGTCTATTGTCTTTGCCTTCCTTCCAATTTTGTGATGGATAGAAATACAAGCCTAAGAAAGAAACAAATTGACAAGGAAATTATTTACAAGAAGTTTAGATAGTGGCAAGAAAGCGTTAAAACAACAAATAGAACACAGGCTGTTAATGAAATGTGGAAACATTCTTAAGCAGAAAGTGTGTTCATATAAGGAAAAATGATGGGAATATAAATTACAGGCGTAGTATCACATGCACTGTACATGAGTTTAGGTGCAGTCAAATAAACGACCTTTTTGTTGTTTAAGAATAAGACGAATGAACAGTCTTTATGTTAAATTAAACAAAGCCTTGGACTGCTTTTATTTTCCTTGCCGTTCACATGTAGAGGTCCAAGGTTCGATTCTCGACAAGTAAGGTATTGTTTGTGTATGGAAGTCCGGGTGTATATGGACTGCTAAACAGGGATAGCTCATAGTGGTTGTGATTTTTTTTGGGGGGGTGGGTAACTTTTTTGTCCACTCGCTACTCAGCCTATCAAATTTGACCAACTAATGAGGATTAAAAAAATGACCAAGCGAACTACAATTTTTTTTTTATTAAATGTTTTATTATTAAAGACTAGCATAGAAATTTGATGGATTAAGTAAAATCTTTATTCAAATAGAAATAAATATTGAAAACAGCTATTATTTTATATTTACTGCTTGGATAAAATTAGCAGCATTAACCTGTTCATAGAAATTAAACTTAATTTGTAATTCTCCTAGTTTGTTTAAGCTTGCAATTATCTGCAATCTTTTGAAGCTCTTACTAATCAGTTATGTTATTTTCACAAGCTATGAACATAAGGTTATGCAACCGTTTTTCTGTATCGCTAAAAGACCTTTCACGTTCACATACTGAAGATGGTGCTGTCAAGAACAACCTGGAAATTTTGCTACAACAGGAAATACACTAAATGATACTTTCTATGAGCATTCAGTGCACATTCTGCAGCTCAGTAAATGGTTTTTACACAACAGGATGTTGTTCCACATATTCAGAAAAATTATTGTTGAACACTTCTAATTCACCAAGTAAGGGTTTAGTTTCAGGTATTTCAGATGGATAGGTTACTGACAGATTTTTCGTGGTTTCAATAAAGCTTTCTGCATCATAGTCTGCAACATTAGTATCAACAACATCCGAAATATATTTAAATGAAGATTTCAGATTTTCACATTTCGAAGTCAACGCAGAAATCATCATATCTAAAATTGCATTAATTTCCTTACAATGATAGGAATATAAATTATGCTGAGCACTAGAGTTTGGATTATCATCATTTTGGGGGGGGGGGAGGGGGCTGTTTCTTTTGACGGTGAACTCTCCTGATCTCTTCTTCTCCATCAATATCAGTATTTTTTTGCAAAGTTGAGTTCAACCTCCATCACATGTTTCTGAGCCTCATCATCATTTTGTATTGACTGAAGTATTTTCAATGTACTTTTCATAGAGATAAGAGATCTAGAAAATCTAAATCCTCAGTTTGCAACACATCTACCATGTGCTTAGTTTTGTACAGAATATTTTTCATGAACATCAAAGCAAAAATAAAATCAAAAGTCTAAAATTTGTAGAGGAGACCATTAGCATTTGTTTTTGCTTCTGAATCATATTTCTTCTTAGCATTTGTGAAATTTCCTTCCAAAACTTCACATATCTCTTCATAAGATTTCCAAAAGGCATCCACTGGCTTTAATTGCAATGCACTTTCAATTTGTGCCAACTTTTCCTTAATAGTTGCATGACGACTGGTGCTACTGCTAAAAAATACATACCAAAATTACAGTACAACTTATATATGTGTAATTAGTTCACTTACATTACAGCCACGCTCAATCACTGAATTAGAGCCATGAGGTTGACAGGAAATGGAAGTGATTGGTCTAGCAAACGTATTAGATAATTTCTTTTGAGCACCATTGTACTTTCCAGACATTATTGCTGCACTATCATATGTTTGAAACCTAATGGTATGTGTGTCAATTGTACTTTCTGAAAAGGATTTGAGTATGGCTTTTGCCATCCTTCTCCTGTCTTGTCTTGTATTTCTGCAGTTTTTATAAGTCGTTCTTTAGGTTTGACATTTTAATCAACAAATCTAACTCCTACAATTAGCTGATTCATATGAGTAATATCTGGGGCTGTATCTGCTATTATTACAATCATCCCAGCATCATTTACCTCTTCAGTAATTCTGTCCTGAACACTTTCATCGAGCAATGATAAATATTCTTCTTGACAATTCTTGCTCACATTTCTTTATTTCTTTCTTTATCTTACGTCTGGCATCATCATAACCATTCAAACCACGATCCACTGAGTTATCTCTTGATAACAGTGTGTGTGTGTGTCGCACATGGTGGTGAAATGCGTCTAGTGTGGCAGAATTACGTTGAAGGTGCAAGCACTGCTTTCAGCTACCACCGCTGGCTAGCCCTCGTGGCGAAAAGGGAAGCAACTTGCATAAGTCTTCCCCTGCCAGTACACAGCCTCTTCACCGACAAGACTCCTGCTGTGCCTCCTCGTGGCAACACACGGTAACTGTGTGCCTCTGGGCCCAGGCTAAACCAGTAGGGGATATCGGAGTAGCAGTGGGCCCCAGAACGACGGCGCATAGGCCCAATGGCATGTGGACACGTTCTAGTGTCTACCAACCATTGCCCCGCCGCCTTGCGGATTAACCTTGGTAGGTATAAGGCTAAAGGAGTAGACCCCGAACAAAAAATCTGCAGTGGAGCCCCACATCAGGCAGACATGCTTACAGAGCTCCATTACGACCCCAATGGCGATATAGACGGAAGAGGGTGACCACCATGTAAACCCAGGTATAACACCGACATAGCAGCCATCAGTGAGTCCTGGATCCCAGATGAGGGTCGACTCACAGAACGGGGGTGTGGCTATACCTTCTTCTGGAAGGGTAAGCCAGCTGCGGAGAGAAACCAACGCATCCTACACAGGCTAACTGAAATGCCTATCGGGATCAAAGAGTGCCTCATGACTCTCCGAGTCCCACTGAATCATTCACGTCATGCCTTTTTCATCACCACATATGCCCCAACACTAGATGCAGAGTATGACATAGAGGAGGTTTCTTATGCCGACCTCGACAGAGTGCTCTAACCTCTATCCCCAGAGAAGATAAAGTTGTGCTCCTTGGGAACTTCAATGCCAGAGTTGGCAGAGGTGCTGACATTGGCAGGGAACCGTAGGGAGAAATGGACCTCTGAAGTGTAATTCCAAGTGTGCTGTACACAAGCTCACTATCACCCATACCTTGTTTAGGCAGGCCGACAAGTTCAAGGATTCGTGGCAACACACACGATCCAAACACAGTCATTTCATAAACTACCATCATTGTCAGAGAAAGAGATCACCGAGATGTCTCTTCTCCTGCTCCATATGTGGCTATGAACACTGCGACACTGATCATCGGCTTGTCACAGTCAAGCTCTCACTTCATGTCACCCCAAAATGGTGAAGACATCAAGCCTCCAAAAGAGGTTTTAACAATAAGCGTCTGGAGGATCCAGCCGTAGCACATTCTTTCAGAGAGCAGCTTGAACAAGGGCTGATAAACAACCCAACAACAAACTACCCAATTCCCAGTGCCGAATGGAATATTCTCGACACTGTCAATACAAAAACCTGCAGAGAGACCCTCGGCATGATCGAAACAATACACCAGGACTGGTTTGATAAAATTGACCCGGCAAACAATGTACTCGTTGATGATAAACGTGCTGCTTTAACTGACTGGCAGAACAACCCTCAGCCGAGGAACAAAGCTGATACCCTCTGTAAGAAGAAAGCGGCGGCCAAGCGGGAACTTCCCAATATAAAGAATGACTGGTTTAGAAATAATGCACATTAAACACAAAAATTTGTAGATCAGCACATGAGGCACGAATTTTCAATTCCACTAAAAAAATATGGGCCAATCACTCGTGATGCAGCCCCCCTCCGCTCATCCGACGGTAACTCCATAACCAAAGAGAAATAAAGAAGGCCTCCTTCAGCACTGGAAGGAACACTACCATTCACTACCCAACCGAAACACCGATGTGGATGTCCTGACTACCCAGCAAGTGCCTCAGCATCCAGAACTGACCCACCTAAGCTATCCTCCATCCCTGGAAGTGAAAGCTATTGCCAACAAAGAGATGAAAATTAACAAAGCCAAAGGGCCTGATGGAATCCTAGCCGAGGTGTATAAAGCAGGAGGACCTAAGCTTACCAGTCGTCTCCACTCTCTCCTGGAGAATATATGGGAAAAGAGGAAATGCCCTAAGCTTTCAAAGATGCATCCATCGTCAATATTTATAAGAACAAGGGAGACCGCTCAGACTGTCCTGCCTTGCAGGAGGCACATCAAGGCACTTGAAAACTTTCACCAACGTAGTCTAAGGTCCATCCTCCAATTTCGCTGGGAAGACAGGAGAATAAATGCCATTATTCTTGCTGACAACAACTGTAGAAGCATTGAGGCTACCATTTTCCACGAACAGCTACGCTGGACTGGCCATGTTTCCTGCATGGACGACAGTAGACTGCCAAAGCAGCTACTTTGCAGTTACCTAACCAATAGTAAACATAATGCTGGCGGGTCAACTGCAAGGGTATAAGGATAGTCTTAAAACAAACCTGAAAAAGTATCAAGTCGACCCCCTCACCTGCAAGACGATTACATTATACAAGAAGGTGTCAATACATTTGAGTTAGCCCAACTGCATAACAAGGCAGACA